TGGCCATGATTCCATTTTTTTTTTATAACATTTGAAAAAATATTGAAAAAAAAACTATTCCTTCCTTACACACACAAATAAAAATCAGTTATATTAAATATATTTTAATTGCATTGAGTATGATTATACTGCAATTCAGATATTCAAAGTTTTCATTAAATATCCTTTGCAGATTTCTCTTCAAACTACTTCTTGTTATCCCAGGCCAGAAAAATTGAATTCCTTAATAAAATCTTTCTATTATATATGAATTGTATAATAATTCTCAATAAATGAAGCAGCACTCTCTGCTTGATTATCTTGGATTGAGAAACTCAGAATTTAGGATGTCCTTGCATCCTGTAGCTGTACAACAAAATGTACCCCAATATTTGTGTGAAGAAGTAATAGTAGTTGCTGCTAGTAATGCCACATTTATGTTTCTCACGAGAACCAATTCTTGCAGGAAGGGCCAAATGTTCTCAAAGAAAGTCTACCAGCGGAATATGAATGTGCTGTTCCAGAATTATTTGGCTATTTCTTAGAAAGTTTTGGTAATGACACACGCATTGACTATGGGACAGGTGAGCTGAGGGCATTGAGTTTAAGATTATTTTATGCTTAGGCTTTAAAGTCAACACTTAAAATTAAGTATGAACTTAACATCAATTTATTTGGCAGATCCTACAAATTTTCTTTCTTCATATTATGTCATACAAAAACTGTTATATTTCATTAAGTCAAATGGTAATATGGGATTAGCAAATTATGGGATTAATGAAACTTTCCCTTTTGTCATCCTAGAAGTTCTATACATGTAAGCCTATGTTTATGTTGTTAAGAAAAAGGTTTCTTATTTTTAATTTTTTAGTTCAATTAAAAATATTTGTAAATCAAGCTTTTTCATACATCAAGCAAAACAATGTTTGGTGAAATTCCTGTAAATCATGGTTTGAAAATTTTTGTACTTCAAATAAAGTTTTCCAAAATTATGTACTATACAACTAATCATCTAGATTGATTAGTTGTTTTTATTTGTTCTCTGATTTGATTTTGTAGGTCATGAATTGTCATTTGTGGCATTTCTTTGCTGCTTTTGCAAAATAGGTCTTGCGACTCAGGAAGATTATCAAGCACTGATTCTTAAAGTTTTTGAAAGGTAACATATATGACTTATATACATGCTTTATGATAAATTTATTTTAAAAATCCAGGCTGATCTCTAATCAATTAATATGCCTTTTATTTTTTTCAAAGATATATGAATTTAGTAAGGAAACTACAACTGACGTATAGAATGGAGCCTGCAGGTAGCCATGGAGTCTGGAGCCTAGATGATTATCAATTTTTACCTTTTTTATGGGGCAGTTCACAACTATTAGGTAACTCTTTTAGTCACCAAATAAAGTAATTAAAGGGTATACTTTCATCTCCTAGGAATAAAGTGGTTGGCTGCCAAATTGTTATTGTCTTTTTTAATTCATGTGAAAACAGATTTTCATTAGATTTAAAATGGATATTTCTTTGTCAACTCAGCTTTAATAGATATCAGATTTCTTTATGGCAATATTTAGGCATAACATCTTGATTAATTATTCGCTATGGCAGCTGATAAAACTTATTTCTTTTGCTTCATTCAGTCTGAATATTTAAGGAAAATTTAATAGATATCAGATTTTTTTATGGCAATATTTAGGCATAACATCTTGATTAATTATTCGCTATGGCAGCTGATAAAACTTATTTCTTTTGCTTCATTCAGTCTGAATATTTAAGGAAAATTGACTAAAGCTTCTAAATGTGACAAAGTTAAACTTAAAATTGTATGGTCTGTTTCTATGCCAATATATAAGTCCTAATGCCCCAATCAATTATTGTCAGAACAAAAGTTTATGATGAAAGTAAAGCTGTTAAATTAATATTCATTGAACTATGTTATATGGTGTATAATACAAATAATCTAAAGAAATATCTTGCTAGTTTAAGTTGAACTCTGGAAGGTGTATTTTTTGTATCTACAAATTTTAGCCACCTTCTGAATCCAACTCTAATGGGTACCTGACATTAGTTGGGGAAAGTAAAGGCAATTGGTCATTGTGCTGGTCATGTGACACCCTCATTAGCTGTAGAAACAGGTGGTGTTATTATCTACCGTATAGATCGCAAGGTCTGAAAAGGGTGCTTTACTTGTTTTTTAATCAAACATCAGGTGAAGTTCATTATCATCCATGCATCTCATTGGTACTTGTATCTCATAGTTTGTTTAGGAATGCTCTTACAAAAGCACTTGCTGTGTTCTTTATCTTATCCAGAATTTTTTTCTAAGCTGGACATAAACAGTACAATGACTGATTCTCTGTAGTTATCCCTTTAGTGAGTGTACTGAAAACCATATTATTTTCTGAAGTGAAAACAATGTATATATTAGTGTCATCAAGTAGTAAACCACTAGCAATAATAATGTGCAGAAATTTTAGTACAATATTTGGAGTCAGGCTCAAATTCAGGATCAAACACAGCTTTCATACAGGGCCTAAAAGTATTTTAATACTAAATTAATGAATGCAGTATTTGCTGAATACAATAAAATGATAAGTATCTAATGATACTTAAATGTAGACACATTATATGTCTCTTTTTCATGAACACTTTTTCCCCCATTTCACTGCTGTCCTTTGAAACACAATTATGACTTTGCATAGCCTGCAATAATTGGCCTATTATATAAACATTAAAACTTAAAACTAGAGGCTATTAAAATATTAATTGTAACATTTAATTACATTTAAGTAGAACTTTGTTTAAAAGTTTCAAAAATGTACACCTAAAGTATGGGAAAAGTAATTTTAATTAAAGAGTTGAATAAGTATAGTTGAAGGAGAAGTTATTAAGTCTTCAAATAATGTAAAATTTCTAAATTAAGTATAGTATAAGTATAGTGGAAGGAGAAATTATTAAGACTTCGAATGTAAAATTTCTAAATTACGTATAATATAAGTATAGTGGAAGGAGAAATTATTAAGACTTCGAATAATGTAAAATTTCTAAATTAAGTATAGTATAAGTATAGTGGAAGGAGAAATTATTAAGACTTCGAATGTAAAATTTCTAAATTAAGTATTGCATAAGTATAGTGGAAGGAGAAGTTATTAAGTCTTCGAATAATGTAAAGTTTCTAAAATAAGTATAATATAAGTATAGTGGAAGGAGAAGTTATTAAGACTTCGAATAATGTAAAATAAGTATAGTATTCCTATTTTGCAGAAGTTCACTTCTACTGGTGAGCTTGGGATGGAGATAAGTGAAGGGACACTGTCTAGGTCTAGTCAGGTGTTATTTGCCACATTGAAAATCATTATGCTGCGGGTCAATCTATGTCATTGCTAGATTTACTACACATGAGTAGACATGAGCTAATTAAACTAGATTTTTAAAAAAAATTATTGCTAATTATAGTTATCAAAGCTTATCTTTCTTGTATTGTGCACAGATCATCCAAGAATAAAGCCAAAGTCTTTTCCCAATGAAGATATCTACAATGGCTTTTACAAAGATTACATGTTTCTTAGTGCTATTAAGTTTATCAATCAGGTAAGTGTTACTTAAGGCAACTAGTATTTTATGATGCTATTGTGATGATAATGAACCAATTTCCTATTTTTAATGTTGTTGACCTAATGTGTCCAGGAATCCTTATTTTATTCAGAATTTAAAAATCAATCCAAAGTGGCATTTATAAGTATCTAACATTCAGGAAGGAAAGGAATATATACATCTTTTAAATGTCTATACCTATCCAGCTTGTGTTATGAAATGATTGATACAATTAGAATTACTCTGGTTATAACAGTTCGAATTGAGAAGTTGTACAGTTTTATGCTTCAGTTTTTTTAATAGTATGTACATGAAAAAGTTGATTGTACTCGTGAGTCTTAAATTACAAACTGAGCTAGGGTATGATTTGATTGCTAGTTTAGTGGCTGTTATGGCATAGCACTAATATGGGGTAACAGGGTTGTGTAGGTTGCTGGTTATGAAGCTGGCAATGTTACTGAGTGAACAAGATGTCTTCATTGTATAATGAGCAACAGTTTTAGTAGAACTTGTAACATGTCAATGAACACTTTTATTATTTATTTCCCCAATCAAAATCCTTTGGACTGCCAGACATGAACAAGAATTGACTTGTGACATTAGTAATTAGTTTCTGTTTTGTATTTTTTATATCTGGAGCTGTGGTGGCCGAGGGGTAAAGAGCTTGGCTTCTCAACCGAGGGGTCTCGGGTGCACATTTCTTTGAAGACTGGGGTTTTGAAGTTTAAGGCGCCCAAGTCCACCCAAGTCTTCTGATGGGTACCTGACATTAGTTGGGGAAAGTAAAGACATGACACCTTCATTAACTATTGAAACAGAAAGCCTTTACATCATCTGCCCTATAGATAGAAAGGTCTGAAAGGGGTACTTTACTTTTTTGTATGTGTTGAATTTAAGTGTCTTTGAATTTTTTATTTTTTTTTCTTGTAATCCATGCAATCTTATTTGAAACAACAAAATCATTTATATCTTTTTAAGGTCAAAACTGGCCCCTTTGCAGAGCATTCTAACCAGCTTTGGGGTATCAGCGGTGTTCCTGTATGGTCAAAAGTCAATTCAGGACTTATAAAAATGTATAGAGCAGAGGTAAATACATCTTTTAGAGTAAGAAAAATTATCATGTAAAAAAATTTTGTTTTCATGCCAGATTTTTTATTTTTTGTATTCAAAATATTTCTTTTAAAATTATTTGTAATAATTTGTTTTTCTCTTCCTATTTAACAAGATTCTGGCCAAATTTCCAATAGTTCAGCATTTCATGTTTGGCAGCTTGTTAACTCTGAACCAAGCAGAAAATCCAGCTCCTGAGTTAGAAGTTCTACCACCTGCAACATCATTGAGTGGCCGGCCCCCTATGATGGATGACATCATGATGCCTCCACCAACAATGGCACCTTGGGCAGCCAAGCCTGGTGCTATACCGCCCACATCAAGGACTCCTCCTCGAGATCTTTAACACTCAACAGACATTAGAAACTGTCATGGAAAAATATAGAAACTTTGATTAACATTTAAAAAAAAAAATTTTGACATTATTTAAAACATAATGGACCTCATTCACCAAAATGAATGGTTATGTGATGACCATTGATAAATAAAAGAAAAAAAACAGTCTCGTGATAACCATTGTTGATTTGAATTTTCTTGTAAGCTGTATAGAAGAGATAGGGAAGCATGTGGCTCATTGTTGTTTGTTTACAATTGGTGAATGAGGTCCATTCTTGATATAGTACAAAACTAGAGTCAAATGAATGCTAAGATGTGCTAACTGGATAAAATTTTGTTGAATTGTTTTATCTAAAATTGTAGCAACTCAAAAAATAGTTGAATTTTATTGACAAGTTTTCTATATACTTGTCTATAAAAGATAATTAATGTGACATTATTTATTTTTAGAACCAAATAAACTGGATTAATTATCTTTAATCCAGAATTATTGTTTTGGTTCATCTATAATAAAATATTTACATCATCCAGTTTTCACAAAGACATGACACTTTATAGATCTAATTGAAACTGCAGTGTAATTTATGTTGTGCACATGAACAAAATAAGGACTAGATGATAGCTTTTAGTCTCATTGACCTCTACTTGGGCATACACAATTGTGTGTATGAAGCCCATGTAGATTAGTTCTTAGTTTCTTGCCTTCTTTGTGTCTTGTGACAATAACATTATTACATTTGTATTCAGACCTTCAATGCCAATAACTTATTGTATATGTGTTCTTATTTTTTTACTTGAGTGTGCATGGCATAATTTTACTTTACAATGAAGGCTTAGTTTGAAAAGTAATGTGTACTTTTTAGAAAAAAAAAAACATAACACTCCAAAATGGTTTTGTAGTTTTTTGATGAACTCATCGATAGGAATTCTTTTAAAGTTATTGAAACCTACTATTTATTAGAAAATGCAGCAAAATGTATTTGTATACAGATACTTTGGAATCATAACCAGAAACTCTTTTGCTAAGTTTTCCAACACCATGTGTAAAATCGATTCGATACTCCATGAATTATGATTTTTTATTCAGCTACTTTTATTTAGCTATTAATTTTTTCACAAAATCAAGAGTAATTAAAAGTTTCATCCTCAATGTTTATTCTATTATATCAAGATTATCTGATCATATTTTCATTTAAATATATTTTATAAGAGAAATGTATTTATTATTTTTACAAAGAAGAAGGAGACTAGTTCTGTTTTTCTTTAGACTTACGTTTGCTCTTCTTATAGAAGGTATTCTAAAACTCCCTTTGGTAATAATCATACTGGCCTTTAAAAAATAAATATGCTTCAGTGAGAGGGTTAGAAAACCAGGAAGAAATGAAATTTTTAAAAATTCTGTCTTTAAAAAAAAGTTTGAATTGTACCAAAATATTTGAATTCCTCAACCATCTATAAAACATTTAAGTGCATAGGCTTTGAAAAAAAAATGGTTTTAAAGAAAAACTATTCAAAGTTGTAGTAAAGATCACTCTATCTATGAATATTTGTTTGCTTCAGCATTTCACAATTTTACTTTTATACAGCCATTGTGCAGATTGAGGATAAATTATCTATTAAATAGATAAAATAAGATTCCATTTCATTTTTAGTTGGTGTTAATGTTTTAATTAAGTTCATTTAATGGATCAATCCTGAGCATACACCTAATCAATGCAACTGTCAAAGTTTTACAAGTACTTACATTTAAACATTCTAGAACTTCAATGTTAATAAAGTACATTGAGCATAACCACCTTAACTCATTTCAGGTTCGGCAGCCATTACTGCTGGTTCCACTTTGGTAGCCATTAATTCTGACTGCACTCAAGTAGCCATTACCGCTTGCGTCACTCTGGTAGCCATTACTCTGGATGCACTGAGGTAGCCATTACTGCTGGTTGCACTCAAGTAGCCCTCAGTGTTGGTGGCACTCAGAATCACTTTCAGACTTATTTTTTTCCAGTTGTCTTAGGAATGTTAAAGTTGTTTATTCACTTTGATTAGACGTGTCCAGTTGTAGTAATCAATTCCAGCAGTTCCATGCCCTAGTATAAGAAGACTTAACTTCAAATTGAATCCAATGATAATAATTTCATAAATTGCAATCATAAGAAGACATCAACTTATATTCTCCTCCTCCACAACTTTGCCTTAGATTTACATTGTAGAGCCAAAAGTTAAGCTCTACCTAGAGTTTACAAACCAATAGTTTAGCTCTACCTAGAATTTACAAACCAATAGTTTAGCTCTAGCTAGTATTTACAAGCCAAGAGTTAAGCCCTACCTAGTATTTAAAAGCCAAGAGTTAAGCCTTACCTAGTATTAACAAGCCCAGAGCTAAGCACTACCCAGTATTTACAAGCCAAGATTTAAGCCCTACGTAGTATTTACAAACCCAGAGTTTAGCCCTACCTAGATTTTACAAGCCCAGAGTTCAGCCCCAATTAGTACATGCTATACCAGACTTAAATTCTACCTTAACATTTACAAGCCAAGACTTAAGTCTTACTTAGAATTTACAAGCCATTGACTCCATAATGAGGAGAGCAATGAATCAGACTGCCTTTGGTATTCCATGGCGTAAACAAAAACCGAATGACGGACTTGGACTTTGCCGATGACGTTGCACGACTTAGACTTAGGTCCTCCCGCGCCGTTCGGCGCATTGGGCGGCACGTGTCTCCATAAAGATCTGTCACTGGCAATGTCTGAAGCCTCCTCCCACCTGGTGTCCACTGTTCTGAGATCCTCCATGAAGGTGTGTCGCCAAGTAATACGAGGGCGTCCCTGTTTGCGCTTTCCTTGTTTTTGGCTTCCATGTTATCGCAACTTTTGGTGTGCGTAATTCATTTTGACGTAGAACATGTCCCGCAAACCTCATGCGACGCTCAGTCACAACCTCACCAAGTGTTCGACTCCCAGTTCGGCATAGGATTTCCTTGTTTGAGACCCGATCTGTGTAACTGACTCCCAAAATCCGTCTCAGCCATCTCTGTTGAGCCACATTTAGTCTTTTCTCAATTTGACAGATGACTTCCACGTCTCACATGCATATGTAGCAGTTGGAATGACGATTGTGTTGAGAAGGTGTATTTTTGTCTCGAGTCCAATGGCTTGGCTAGTCCAAACAGGCTGCAGCCTTTGGAAAATGCTCCCTGCCTTTCCTATTCGGCACTCTACATCATGGTAAGCATCTCCATCATTTGTTATGATGCTGCCAAAGTACGTGAACTTGTCCAGCTCTTCAAGCTTTGACTCGCCAAGTCTGACGGGGACACCCTTTGCCTTATATCCCACTCGCATAATTTTATTCTTATCCAAGTTTATGCGGACGCCAATTTTGGGTGCCTCTCTGTCTAGGGTCTCCGTCATTTCTTGAATGCATTTATTTGTAGCCCCGAGTAGTGCAACATCATCAGCAAAGTCCAAGTCCGTCAATCGGAGCTGTTCATGCCATGGAATACCAAAGGCAGTCTGGTTCATTGCTCTCCTCATTATGTAGACGATGGCTATGAGGAAAAGGAAGGGAGATAAGATGCACCCCTGTCTCACACCTGTCTCGATTGTAAGAAACTCTGTTGTTCCCTCTTCTGTTTTAATGCAGCAACTAGATTGACTGTACAGGTGTAGTAGGATCTGGACGAATTTTTCTGGGATACCGTATTCTCTAACTATTTTCCATAGTGATTCTCGGTGGACACTATCAAACGCTTTTTTGAAGTCCACGAAACTGATCGTTAGCCGTTGTTGGTACTCAAGACTTTGTTCTATGATATTTCGTAGAACGAAAATCTGCTCTGTACATGATCTGCCTCTTTGGAAACCTGCTTGTTCTTCTCTGAGCCTTTCATCTACAGACTGTTGAAGCCGTCTCAAAAAAACAGTGCTGAAAACTTTGCCCGGTACAGAGAAGAGAGTAATGCCCCTCCAGTTGTTGCAGTCTGCCAAGTTGCCCTTTTTTGGAAGCTTTACAATCACTCCCTTTTGCCAGTCCTCTGGGACTTTTGAAGTTTGCCAACAGAGATTTAAGAGATCAGTCATTCTACTCGGGGCTTCAAATCAATGCATACAAGCCTAGATAGAGAGGCACCCAAAATTTACCTCCGTATAAACTTGGATAAGACTAAAATTTTGCGAGTGGGATATAAGGCAAAGGGTGCTCCCATCAGACTTGGCGAGTCAAAGCTTGAAGAGTTGGGCAAGTTTACATACCTTGGTAGCATCACTACAAACGATGGGGATGCCTACCATGATGTAGCGTGCCGAATAGGAAAGGCAGGGAGCATTTTCCAAAGGCTACAGCCTATTTGGACAGGCCAAGCCATTGGACTCGAGACAAAAATACACCTTATTAACACAATCGTCATCCCAACAGCATCATATGCATGTGACACATGGAAGTATCCGCCAAAATTGAGAAAAGATTAAATGTGGCTCAATAAAAATGGCTGAGACGGATTTTGGGAGTCAGTTGCACAGATCGGGTCTCAAACAAGGAAATCCTATCCCGAACTGGGAGTCGAACACTTGGTGAGGTTGTGACAGAGCGTCGCATGAGGTTTGCGGGACATGTTCTACGTCAAAATGAATTACGCACACCAAGAGTTGCAATAACATGGATTCATATGCCACTTAGACCTTTCACAATATCTTTAAATCATTTAACAAAGCCTTTAACCTTTTTTTACCATCTGCTTATCTATGACGTCTCATGGGAAAAAGAATGTTTTAAAACAAATGAATATTAAGAACTTTTTGAGACAAAGGAAGAAACGACACTTTCCCAAAGAGGAATTTTATTTCAAATGAGATCGTTAAAGACATTGACTATAATAAAGTGAATGATACTTTTTCAAGTTCAAACTGGGGGGAAAAAACAGTGTAATTTATTTTCTTGGTTACATTTATGCAAATTGAACTTTAGATTGATGGCAGTGATGGGGGGGGGGGGGGGGTTTGAATCCGAAACCTTTCTCTCTCTAACCGGGCTACGCCCATGGGATTAAAGTTTGGAAAAAAAAATGCTCCCCCTCTCAAAAGTTCTTGATACGCTGTGCTTATATAGTGGCTTGAGGTCTCGTTTGGAAAATGCAAATATCGTATTTATAGCTTATTTACTAGAAGTCAATAGTAGAAAAATATATGTACCAAAACAAATTTTATTTGCTTTTTAGCTGGCACAGAAACACACATACAAAATATTTTATCGAAATTTTCAACAAGCAAGTTTATTGAACCGAATGGTCCCATGGTGACAAAAGGTCCGCATAGCTACTAATAATTCAACTCCTTCAGGTCTAGTAACAAAATTTTCTCTAATACTAAACAGTCTCTTCAGAGTTAGGCCTATAATTTTTTTAAAAAAATTTCTCTGAGATAAAACAAAACCATATAGTTTGCCGAATATATGCCTAATGGCTATATGTGTCGTCTGTTCTGTTCAAATGCCTGGTCGGGATGGCTGCCTGGTCGTGCGGTTTGCGCTCTGGACTGTCGTTTGGATTTATCGATGGTCCCGGGTTCAAACCCTGCCCGCTCCCATCCCCCGTCGTCCTGCGGGAGCTTTGGACTAGGAAGTAAACTAACTTCAACTCTGAAGGAACATCCGAAACATGTAAAACATTTTACAAACAAATCGTTGGTGAAGGCGGATAGCCTACTGCGATGCCATGTGACTTGGTAGCAATTAGTGCAGACTGACGAAAGACCAGCCATCAAAAAGATTTTTTTTTTAAAATAGGAATCTGGATGATCAAATGGTTTGTTTGCGCGGAACTGTGTTGTTACTTGGCAGAGTTGTTGAATCAGAAGGTCCGTGGTTAGCGACCAGGTCAGGATTATCTCTTTTTTCGCTATATTTAATTTACAATTTTCTCTCATTAAAATCTGATCTCCGTGGCTGCATTCATGTAAGTAATATGTAAACCTATACATCATTCATTGTTTCACACTTTTGTTTGGTGATTCCAGTGGTAGGCTTTTGCTTAATGTTAATGTAGAATTTTCGAACTTAGTAAAGTGTCAACAACTTCCGTAAAATTTAAATGTGATCCAGTCTTGAGATGTCAGATGAAATGTGGTAGTTCTATTGCAAAATGTTAATGTGGTTTTTTTTTACCTACTGTATAATTTGTCTTCTGACGTGATCACTGATCATCCTATAACACAATTAATTCTTTTTGTATTTGTGGTGATGTGTGCTTATAATTGGCCTGATATCAATCTTGGTTAGAAACATATTTTCCTTCACAACAGCAGTGTACATGATATTAATTAAAGACGTCTTTATTTTGTCATTTGAATTCGTGTTTACCTCTTAATTTCGTGATGCCTTTATAGTGGCCGCTTTTTAAATGGTAGACTCTCTGTGGTAAAATACTCAAGACCGGTAAATCGGGCTGCTAAGACACGTTTTTTTTTTGTTGCAGGCTGATAAATTGAGATCTTTGGTTAAAATGTTCATTCTTACTGGGTGAAAGTTTGATGCCCCTCACCACTTGATGTCCGCCGTGCTGACCGCACCACCCGCACATTGCTGGCTACGCCTCTGCTATTATCGGTAAACATTCCACACACCACACACACTTTTTTTAAAATAGATTT